AGCGAGGCTAGCCCGAAACCGTCGCAAGGAAGGAGGGAAGAGAGCGACAGCGTAGGGGGGGGACCCCTGCACCATAGCCCTGGCGCAGGAAAAGAGCGACAGAGAGCGAGAGATTTCGTCTCGCCCGGGTTTCACGCCGACTGTGGCACGGGACGCCGGACGGACAGAGCCAGCTCGGCGGAGGGCGCGCGTGCGTGCCTTTGCTCTGCAGCAAGATTTCGCGAGTTGTGTTGATTTGCAGGTTCACTCTCCCCACGGTTGGGTCCGTAGGACTATGTAAGCCCTTGCAGGTTTTCAGTTCTCTGTAAGCCCACCCGTTCATCAATGTTGCAGCAGCTTTGCCTCTGGCCGGGCAGGCCAGCTGCAGTGGGTCGTTGAGGTCCTCGGCTTGGCGGACTGGCAGTGGCTCGGACTCGTTGGTTTGCGCATTTCAAACGCCATCCTTCGCAAGCGGTTTGCCACACGTGAGCCATGTCAGTAATCAGTAATAATTCCCAGCCCTTTCAAAGGCCCCCCTGTTCTTCCTTGGTCTCTGCCAGTCTAGTTCGAGCTGGAATGCTGTGCAGTTTGCCCAAGGCTCTGTTAAAAGCACAAGTCCGTCAGATCGCCTGTTGCAGGCAATGTGGCCGATTTGCTTGGTGATTTTGAGTCGGTGTCGGTCCAGCTCATCTTGGCGAAAATACCGAAGCTTGTAAGCAGACCTGGCAGAGTGTTTCGTGATAGGGCGATGGCTTCGGCGCTTGCTTCTCTAAAGCCAGCACCAAACGAAACGACGATAATTTCCAGACCTCACCAGAGAGACCGAAGATTCTTCAGTCTAGAACGCCTCGTTTCAGGATTTACGGATACTTCGTCAACTTGGGTGCTGCAGATGGCGTCTGGTCGGATCCGCTGATGTCGTTCACTCGCAAGGGAGCAAGAGGACGGAGCCTGACATGACCTAAGCAGATAGGAGCCGACACCAGTCAAGAGTGATGTGCTGAAGAGCACTTGCTGTACTATACTGTTAGGCTCCAGATGAAGTAGAGCGTACTGCTATCGCTTGGCTTGTGGGCGCACGTGTTTGTATGGATGCGGATGCATGCATGCATGTATGTACCCTTTTATATATGAATATATGTATGCTTCTGTATATACATAGATGTGAATATGCGTATACACATACACATACATACATATACTCATATGCACAAACATATCTATGCATCTATATATACACGTGCAATACATACATGAGTACCTACATACATAAAGATAGATAGTGCCCGCAGGTGTAGCTGTGGAGATGGATCCTCAAGCTTGTGCTCGCTATCGCCGAAACTTCCCGCACGTCAACCTCCTCTGCACGAGGCACCGAAGGCATTTTTCCCAGTGAGCGTGAACGTGGGAGCCCTGAGAAGGTTGACAATGGACACGATTCCAGAACTGGCGAAGCAGGTTGAGTTCGGCGGATATGATGTGCTGAAAGTCGCGGGCATACTGTAGCCCATGCAGTTTGCAATGCCCATGTTGTGTAAAGGCGTGTCGTTTTTAGTGTGCCCGTAGAGAGAACGAGCATAAAAACGAAACGAGAAGAGACGGTCATGTGGTTTCGGGCTTACTTCGAAGCTTCCGTTCACAGCTGCCTTTATCACGAACGGTGAGGTCGATGTGGACTCCTATGACTGCGCTTTGGTCCGGGAGCTGTTGATGCGCTTCCATCACCGACCTAGTTGCATCCTACTGGAGGTGAACAGCGCGTTCCCCCCACCCTTTGAGTTTGCAATGGAGCCGCACTCGGCTTGGGACTCACTGGATCCAAAGTTGGTCCGGTATCATTTGGCGCATGGCCGCTTGGCAGTTCATGGCGGGAGTGGTCTTGCTGAGCGAAGCCCAGAATGCACGTGAAGCTGACATCTGTCGGCCAGATTGAGGCTGCTCTCTCAGCTATGCTATACGAATGCTTTCTGATGAACTGCCGGGGCCGAAGTATGTCCTCCTTCACATGAGCAAGAAGGACTTGCCTTTTTGCTTTCAGTTCCCAGAGAGAGTCACACACAACTGGCTAGCGACATGAGCAGTGTGCACGCCAACATAAACAAGTTAACACCACCTTTGTTGACCAGCGCTCTGGTGCATGTGTTTTTTCCCAGGCAAACGTCGTTGTTCAAGTTCAAGGGTTGTGCGGCGCAGGGGCGGCGAAGTTTTCGGAGATGCCATTGCCACAGTTTTAAACGTTGGAGAGACTGTTTCCCCTTTAAAAAACCGGGTTTTGCAGCCTTGTATTTTTTTGACACTGGAATGGTGTTGGCACCGTTTTCGGGCCTTTTTGTGTAACTCCGGTTCTGAGATCAGGTGGGCAAAATCGCCTTTATCCTTTCTGATGAAAGCCGGGGTACAGACAGGAAGTAGCAGCAGCAGATGCAGTAGTATTCACATGACGGTGGTGAATGTAATGACGATCGTCATCATGATGTTTAGAGTGTTGCTCCTTATGACGAGGATTGCTGCCATGATCATGATGATGATGATGGACATGGTGATCTTGGTGGTTATCGTAGTGAGTGGGATGAACAGATCCCATTTATGGTGATGGTGACAGTGGTTAGGATGATGATTACGGTAGCTGCGAGTGTGAGAGTGATGAATATGAGGAATATGAGGATAATGACGATGCAGAACAAGATTATGGTGTTGATGCTTCAGATGATGACGGAGTGGAGATGAGGGGTATGATCATTCGGGGTTCGGGCCGCAAACACGTCTGGGGAAGCGCGCAGAATGAAGAAAGCCAACGCCACACCCAACATGCCCAAACAAGTATCCCGCTACAGCATGGAGTCCACTTCGTGCAGCGTGATTCTAGAACGCCAGTGCCGATTGCATGTGAAGCCGAAGGCAGCCTGAAACAAGTGTGACCCGCGGGACATTTCGGGTGGCGTTAGCATTTCAAAAAGCTTCGTACAGCATGAAGCACCAAGTCTTCGACTGGCATTCTGCAACACAGGATGCACTGTTTCTTCGGGCGGATGTCGCAGCTCAGCTCTTGGGATCCGATGAGGCGCCGGATGAGTTCAGATGCTACGAGGACTCTGGCGAGCTCCGGAGTGATATGTTGGGGTTTGTTGGTTCAGGGACATATGGGTGCTGGCTGTGGCGATAGCCATGCATAGAAGGAGAATGCACACTTCGAAAGCAACCCAACAGTCCTCACCTAGGCTTCGAGTAATCGATTCCTACTCGTAAAGACATCGGGTCAAGCATCTGGAGTTGGAGGACCAGCTGCTTGAAACCCATGGAGAGACCGGGATGCATTTGGCTTGAGAAGTCTGGCTTCTGGTCCTGTACAGTTGCTGTCTCTGGATTCTGCAGCCGGAAGCACTCAGACTGAACTTTTTCCTAAGACCCGATCACTGCTCGTGGATCCATGACATGAGCATTTTTTGAGGAGGGGCTGCCGTGCACATGGCTTCATGACAATTAATCCCCGACTTTGAATCAAGACAGCTACACAACCACAGTATTTGTCGAAGTTCAGTCTTTCTTGGCCGCGGCACTCGAGGTGGAGAGTGATCGACTTCGACGATGGTACTACGGGTTCAAGGAGCTAACGGCAGGGGCAGACATCATGACCGAGGAGGAGGTGGTTGAGGACATGCGTGAAGTTGTGTCTTGTTTGCGAAAGATGCCCGGGCGCGGTCGGTAATGGGTTGAGCAAGTTCTGCTTTCCAGAACGAAATTGATCTGAGGTCAGGAGGAATATCGAGCTGGTGTTCGGAAGAGGTCCCCTTTATGATATGATGCTTTATCCAGATTTGGAGTCCGTTTCTTTTGGGAGGCCTTGCGACTATGTTGCCCTTCCAGCTGACCTTTCGACGCCAAGATGTGGCTCCGATGGATGCCAACTTCCTCATGGATTCAGCCAAGCGGGTATACTCCCTGGTTCATGACCTTGGTCGGAATTATCTCGTCTTCCGAGATATGGTGGACACGACCGAGAAAAATATACGATATTTATATATTCCTTATCGACGAAGGAAATCATTCTTGGAATACCACCGACAGATTGGAATGAAAATTTGATTAATGTTGAACTACGAATGTCATCGAACGAAATTAATTTCATTATATATTAAAAAAGACCTTTTAATATTTAGTCTTATTTTTAATATTCTTCATTCTTATTATATTTCTTTATTTCAAAATAGTTTCATAGATATTATATTAGTCGGGCGCGGGATTTAAGATGCATCTTGGTTTTAATCAAAATACAGAGGTTTTTGGTGTTGAAAGTCGATGATTTTACCGGAATCTTGATTAGGAGGTTATGCTGAAGTATGTAGGCTCCGCGCCCGGCACAGGTCAATTTGATAAGTCATAGATGTCGTGTCGTGGGAAGCTATTGTCGGAATAAAATGCACTAACAACCTATACGCGTCTTAAATATTCGGACTTTATTTAAGATTGGTAATTTGGTAGACTTCTAATAAAAAGGTAGTCGGACTAGAATTTGTGTGCAATCTCTAAGGTCCCCAAATAAGGGGAGGAACAGGAGGAAAACTGGGATTATTATAGATCTTTAAAGAGGCACCGTGTGTCTTGACTTCCGCGCCCACTTATTTATATTATATATTATTTATTGAAACTCAAATTTAAATATCATATTTCATGAATCGAAATATGAATTTAATGAAAGAATTCATAAATAAAATCAAATTGATCCGAATTAAGAGATAAGATAATATAATTCATATAAGAAAGAATTTTAAATACTTGATTTTAGAAAATTGAGATAAATAATTATTTAAAATTATATTTCGAAAGAATAAAATAAAAAGATCTTATATTAATAAATATATGAAATGATCTTATAATATAGATTTTAAAATTCAATTTAAATAATGAATTTAATAAATAAATAAAAGAAAAATATTAAAAGAGAGGTTGATCGAATATATATAAATAAATAAAAAAATTATAAGAAAATAAATATTATATTGTTATTTATAATATTATTATAG